GGTCCACTTGACACATCTTCTGTCTGGTAGATTTCTTACAGAAATGTGGTGGTGAGGTAAATTGATCAGACATTGCTTGACTCAGAGCAATCCTCTGGGGTCTAATTTTTTCATTATCACACCTTTCAAAAGGCCCATGCCTGAAATGGACTTGCTATGCCTTTTAAAAATTATTGTCTCTGTTGGAGGGTGAGTGGGTGAGGGATGCATTTTTAATGTGACTGGGTGTTTAGTCAAAGGGTAGGTCAAGAAAATGAAATTCAGCTGCGAGAAAAGAGGCTTTGTAGGCCTTGTTGACTACTTAATGACCGTGACAGGATAACTACCTTCTGAGTTCACCCTCTTTGGCAAAAAGATTTTCTCAGGGGTCCTTTCAATCACTAGCACACACCTAGGGATCAAGTCAGAGATTTTTCCTGAACTTTTAATCCATAACACTGAAAACACTCCTGTCAAACAACCCACACAAAGATAAGCTTTCAGCAACAAATGTTTGAGAACATTGCTTTGAATTCATTTTTCAAACTACCTAAAGTTTTTTTTGCAAAAAAAAAAAAAGTGTTTCGACTGATTTTATTTAAAGAGAGGGGCAGGTATGAGGATATTTAGCTATTCAACAAATATTTATTGAACCGCTACTGTATGCCAGGCAATGTTCTAGTCCGGTGCTTCTCAAATGTTAGGGTAAATATGAACCACCCAGGGATCTTGTTAAAATTCAGATTCTGATCCAACAGAGCTGGAGAGAGGCTGAGAGTCTGAATTTCTAACAAGCTCCCCGGTGATGCCCATGCAACCAGTCCACAGGCCACGTTTAGAGTAGTGAGGGTCTAGGTACTGAGGATAAATTAGCGAACAAGATAGACATGGTTCTTGTTTTCTTTATAATCAAGAGAGTTGCATCCACGATTGTTTATCCTGTCCCCCTAGCCTCGATTTCCTCATTTGTACAATGAGGACAATAGTTTGCTAGGGTGATTACATAAAATAGTGCATACAAAGAGCCAGGCATAGTGCCTAGCACGCAGTTAACCCCTGAATGAGGGTCAAGGGTTATAAGCGTGTTCTTGCTGTTGTTGTGACTAGAATGCAGGTCTTCTGCACTGTCACAGTGATGGAAGCCTGCTTTGCTCCCTGGAGGTAATACCTCGGCCTCTTCCGAGGTATGCCATTTGGACTTCAGTCTTTTCTTGTTCAATCTACTTCTTGATCTTTTCCATTTCACTTAAGTTCTTCTTTCCTTCTTTCATCTGATTTTTCAGATTAGAAATCTCTTCTGGAGAGGGATGAAAAACAAAGTTAGTGAAAAGAACCAGTCTCAGATCCATGATGTCAGCCAAAAGAGACTGTTCCCAGAGGCCCACTGGGACCCTGGTCATGCCATCCTTGGTAACTTGATGGCAAGGCCACCGCTGGCACGTATGGGACGTTTGTTTGAATTAGAAAAAAGAATCCCCTCTTCAAAGTATTCTTTTGGCATCTGCCACAAAGTTGCCTACAACAGCTGGTGAGGATGGTGTTTCTTAGAGTATTGTGCATTGAACAACCTGTGTGACTGTACATGGCGGTCCTGCTTGTCAGAGCCATGCCAGATATTGCCCGGTGGGGCTCTAGGACCCAGACCTGGAATCCTATCCAGTGGAAGAGCTTAGCTATCAACACGGGTGGCGGCCACTGTGTCAGCTGTCGCTCAACACCAGAATGGGAACTTACAGCATAAGCTGGGTCACTGTCTGCCAGAAGCCAATGTGTGAACCCTCTGATGAACACACGTCTCTGAAAGAGCAAGGCAGCCAGAAGTGACAAAATCTCCAGCACCTGACATTGTTACTGACACTGACTGACACAACACCTGACACTGTTGTTGACACAGTAACCTGTTGTTACTGACACAACACCTGACACTGTTCATGAAGGAAGCCTCTGCAGCCTAAGGTGTGGAGCAGGGCCAAGTGCTCTGGGAATTACCCACAGTCCAGAGGCAGTGGAAGGAATTCAGGGGCTTGACCGTTCCTCTGGCTCTGAGATCCCCAGCTAGGATAGGCTGTGACAAGAATTTTTTAGTTACAAAAACAAACCCATGAGATGGCAAGTCTCATGTGAATAATAAATCCTTCTCTGATAAAACTTCTCCAGAAGAGGGGCTCCCAGGAGAAAACTCAAGGCAGTGGTTCTCTACTCTGACCATACCGTAGAATCACTCAGAGAGCTTTTGAAAAAGACTTCTTCCCAGGCTCCAGCCCAGAGCAAGTATGGTCCCCACACGAACAGCCAGCTTCGCTTGGGGACTTCTTAGACATACAAACTCTTAGACCCCCTCCTAGACTTACTGGATCAAAAACTCTTGACGGTGGGACCCAGCCAACCGCGTTTTAACAAGCCCTCCAGGTGGTTCAGATGCCATGAAAGTTTTCTAACTGTTCCAGCACCTCTCACAGGCCCAGTCAGTGACCTGCTCATGGACTAGGTAGGTCAACAGAGAAAGCAAGTTTCATTTATGCCTCCAATAGTAATGAACTTACTCCCAGGGCATCTCAGGGTTGTAATGCACATCACTGTTGGTGCTGGTATAAGTTGGCAGCCTCTTTGAAGGGCTGCTGGGCAATATCTCAGAATTTGAAAATTCATTCCTTCAATCCTGCAATTTCATTTCTAGGAATCTACCCTACTGAAATATTTGTACACGTCCCCATTGTACACAGATGTACAATATAGGATTATTTATAATTGTGAAAAATTTTATCGAAAATTAATAAGGTCTAGTTAAACGTGTTAGTCAGCCTTATCATAAAACACTGTGTCACTAATAACAGTCACTTGGTAAGGCTCCAGCTACAGGCACATGGGAGGTGGCAGAGCCCATAGTTAAGTGTGTATATGCCGGAATCAAGCTGGCTGGGCTCAAACCTCAGATCTGCTACTCATCAAATGTGAATTTGGCCAAGTTCTTAACCTTAAATGATTCAACCTAATCTGCATTTTACAGATAAACTAACACATAAGGCTGTTCTGAGACTTAAACAATGAATAGTTATATATAGAACAGTGCCTGGCATGTAGTATGGGCTATAGAGATATTTGTTAAATTAGAAAATAAGTTAATAAATGGAAAAAATAAAAAGTATAGAATAACGTGTAATTTAAGTAAAAACTACCTGTATGCATATTATGCAGGTTATGAATATAAAGAAATTCTTAATAGGCTTCCTTTACGGACAGGAACTGGGGCTAAAGTTAGGAAAGTACTCTTATGTTTAGAACTCCTTTAATGAAAATAGTATCTGTAGTATAAAAAAAAAGACAAAATCCAAAGCTAGTATTCAAAATGGAGAAGTTAAGACCCAAGCGAGGCCAGGACGATGCTAAGGTTTCTCCGCATCGAGGCAGCCTTGCCCTTGGCGCTGGGCCCTCCCGGGACCCTGCTCCGGTTCCCAGGGCAACGTACCCTTCAGGTTCTTGTTCTCCCTTCGGAGGGTCCGCTGGCTCGCGGCGCTCTCCTCGTAGGTGTGCCTGAGATCGAGGAGCCGGGCGCTGAGGGCCCGGGCCTCCTCTGCGGGGCGTCGGGCATCGCCTGAGGCTACTCGTGCTCCCGCCTCCAGCCGTGCAGGCACTGGTTGAAGTGCTGCTGCCACCGGTCCAGCGCAGCAGCCGCGCGGTGCACCTTCCCACGATGCGACAGGGTGTCCCCGAGCTCGAGCTATGGTCGGGGCCTGGCCCTCTCCAGGGAGGCCCTTCTGGCATGGCCCACCCCCATGGCTTCGGCAGCCTCCTGCGACCGAATTGCCAGCTTCTTCCTGAGAAGGGGAGGTCCAAAGGGCGAGTGAAGCCACAACCCTCAGAGAGCTCGTGCAGTGTGTCCTTATTAAACACAGCACTTGGGTACAAATGGGGGGTGGGGGGGCTCCTGAGGGTGGCTTCATAGTCTGAAGGGGAAGCAGCTTGTGCCTGACAATGACCTCCTTGTGCCTGTGGAAGCCAGATGTCTGCTGACCACCACACTCTGGCTTCTGTGTCCACATGTCCCTTATTCCCTCCCCACCCTTTGCCAACCTGGACTTGACACTCAGAACCTCTGAATCCCTGTAAGTATCTGCTTCCCCTGAACCTTAAGTAAGCAATACAGACTTTATCAAAGACTTCATAAGAAATGGGAGAAAGAGAAAGATGGTACTGAACACCCAACAGTAAGCAACCGTTAAAAGTTTGGGGGCACGTCTAGTCTCTAAAGAGCTCCTTGGCTTTATTGCTTCCAAGCAGCATTCTTTGGCTCTCTCCTGCTCAGTCTCCCCCTCTCATCATGGGACTCCTAAACATGCCTGAGTATCTTTTCTCTGAATTTCTTCTCCATCTCAGCTCCTCTTCCCAAATTTATATACCCACATCCATCCCAGCGTTATGCTCACTTATCAGGTCCTACTGCTGTTGGGGGTACTTTAGCCCCTGTCTGTCCTCCCTCCAGAATCCTCTGAGATGCAGTGGCTTATTAAAATGCTTCCTCTACCGTCCTTACAATGTTCATTCGCTTCCTTATGGATGCAAAGTGTTCTCTTGTTCCCATCTCCTGCAGGGACACTGGCAGTCCCATTCTTACTCATTCATCACACCTCTTAGATGAAAGGTACTGTATGTACCAAAGCTTTTTCCAATCTCCAGTTATTAAACAGAAAAAGATCCTCAGGAATTAACATGTTCCACACAGCAGCCTAACAGAGCAGTGTGCTCATAAAGCCCCCTTTTGGTGGAATCCTGCAAAAACTAGTCTGTGCTCAGTGTCTAAGAAAGACCTGGGCTCTAACAACTACTCCTTGCTCACTGGCTTTCTAACCATAGTCACGTCACGTCTTTGCTTCATTTTTCTTAACTGGTAAGAAGAGATTCTTCTGTACCACATGGTGACTATCATTAATAATACTGTATTGTGGGCTTCCCTGGTGGCACAGTGGTTAAAGAATCTGCCTGCCAATGCAGGGCATACAGGTTCGAGCCCTGGTCCAGGAAGATCCCATATGCCGAGGATCAACTAAGCCCGTGCGCCACAACTACTGAGTCTGTGCTCTGCAGCCCATGAGCCCCAACTGCTGAGCCTGTTCTCTGCAACAAGAGAAGCCACTGCAATGAGAAGCCCGCGCACCGCAATGAAGAGTAGCCCCCGCTCGCCACACTAGAGAAAGCCCGCGCACAGCAACGAAGACCCAGCACAGCCAAAAATAAATAAAATAAATAAATTTATAAAAAAAATAATAATACTGTATCTTATATGTGAGAGTTGCTATGAGAATAGAGCTTTAGTGTTCTCACCATAACAACAACAATAAAATGGTAATTTAGTGGGGTAAAGGAAGTGTTAACTAATCATGCTGTGGTAAAGATTTCTCAACATGTGCATATAACGAATTATCACATTCTACACCTTACACCCTACACAATGGTATATGTCAATTATATCTCAATAAGGGAGAAAAAAAAGGAGATTCTGATGCTTTATCCCACCTAAAACAGGAGTCTTGTAAAACAATTACACATATTTTAACTACTTTAGAAATGCTCAGTTGGAACCAGAAAATAGGAATTTTACTTTGGGTGACCAACTGCTGGGGGACTGAGGGGTTGTACCAGGACACGGGGCTATCAGTGCTCAAACTGGGCAAGTCCAGGGCAAACTGGACAATTGATCACCTTCATTTGATTGATAACGTTGCTCTACATTTACTACCAGCTACAATTTTGCTGCTCAACTTGCCAACCATAAGCACCTATGTAGTTTCCTAGAATACGCAAGAAGGTATAGGAGATGAAGAAATCAGATTCCTATCCCTGGGGAACTCAGAAGCGGTAAATGGGGTCTCAGGGGGGCTTGATTCCACTAAACTAACTCATCATGTGAACCCCAGCCTGGAAATCTAAGTAGACAGATCCTCAGCTTTCCAATTAAAAAAAATGGAATCCTAGATTTTTTTTGCAGTTCCACGTCCCTTAGGGGTTTTAGTGGGAAATCATAATACAGACAATGCTTTATTTATTTGATGTTCAACTAAGTTTAAAGCAAAAAAAAAAAAGTCTTTGGATATTATCTCATTTGCCCATCATTTCTCTTCAGTTGTCATGTACTACTGGACCACAATTTGTTAGTTCCAACAAATCCATGTGGTCATAAGTAACCTATATACTTTCCCTCTTTTCTGTCCCTCCCTAGGAAACCTTCAAACAGAATGACGGGTAGACACTTTCACCAGAATTCTTCAATTATTAGGGAAAAAAAAATCTTGCTTTAGAAGCAAATGCCATATTTTGGATATGAGGCACCATTTCAGTTCAAAGCCCCGCTTTTCTGCAGTCCAGAGTTTTGAACACATTTACTGCAGGTATTTTTAGTATCTGTCATCCCAAAGCCCTTTTTAAGTTACTGTGGCTACAGAGACAGATTGCTTGGTACCCCTTCAGGGACAGAACACAGCAGCTGTTCAGCACGTGCACAGCAATGCCTTTCAAAGATTTAGGTGAAGAACTGAAAAAATAATATTTTTGGTTGATGCTAAAGAGAAATGTATTGATCTGCCCTGAATTTCTGCCAAGCTACCAAGCCAGGGATACACTCTTTTGAGTCAACCTTTAATGATTATAAGCCGGGGATGGTTTGACACTTTCTCTCAAAGACACACAGTCCTTTGACCTCTGAGCAAAATGCTTTAGAACTACATCCTGGTACTAAGTCTTGATTCATGTGGGCCCCAAACTTCTGTAGTTCCTGAGAAGAACTTCTAAAGCCTTTATGTAGTGTTGGCTATAAAACTGATATCCTAACCTTAGAGGTGACCCCAAAGTGTTTTCTTTTCAAAGAAACATTTGTCCCATAGGCAGGATGACAAATCCTAATACGTTTCCAGCTGCCCCTGTCCACCTTCACAGACCACTCTGTAGCGTACAAGTTGTAGACCAGAGACATGATGACTTTAAGGTACGGAGACATGTACACACATGGATTCCATTATTTTGGCGTTCCAAATGAAACACAGGATTTTCGTGCTAGCCTACTTTCAAACCCTAGTTCAAAGTCACATCTATGAAGACTTCCCCCGTACCCCTAGAAATCACCTCTTTTTTTCCCCCAGGACTTCTCTCTAGTCTTTGTCACTCTGTATTATAATTTTCATTTTTGAACCCCTCTAGAGCATGTGCTTCTTGCCAGTGGTGGCTGTTTCAGCTTTGGTCTTGGGTTAGTTCACACACTTGGTGAGGATTAGCTTAGTGTACACATGTGGCCTCGAAGACACAGTCACTGTTCTCAGAGTCCTCTGTGCAGCCCTGCCCCACTCACTTGGCATCCTCCAAGTCCTCAGTGCTCCGGATGGTGTCGTCTTCATACTTGGTTCTCCACTTAACAATTTAAGCATTGTCTCTGAACAGGGCCCAGAGCAGCTCAGCCTTGGCCTCTTGTTCTTCCTGGTACTGCTCTCATAGCAGGTCACAGTCACGCTTGGCCGACTTCACGGCCTGGGCCAGGGCACTCTGTGACTGCAGGGGACAGGGACACAACACATGTTACAAAAAGGCACCATGGCCATTAACAAACAATGAAAGGCTTGGAGGTGGCATCATCTTTTTTAGATAAGGTTAATAACCACCTGTCACAAATGCAAGCCGAACCTGAACCTCGTAAGATGATACCAGGGAGAGAATTTGGGACAAGAAGAGAAAGGAGAGAGTATCTAACTGCTGCCGTTACAACAAGGAAGAGGGTTCTATTTAGGGAAATGCCAGCCTGACTATGTGGGCTTCAACAATAGACAGGCCTGGAGTTCTAGAAATAGTGCAGAATGCAATGGTAGCAAGAGGAACACTCACCATCATTTAGGTAATCAGATTTATATTTAGCAATATACAAGAGTTAGATCTTGTTTGGACTAGAAAGGACCAATGAGTTTTGCCTAGCCTTTTCATTCTATTCATAAGGAGAACAGAACCTTTTATTTCACATGTAAATCCCTAAAAACTTTAAAACTTTAAAGCAGTACTAGCCAATAGAACTTTCCATAGTGATGAAAATATTCTATATGTGCACTGCCAATATGGTAACCACTAGCCACGTGGCTGTTAAACACTCAAAATGTGCCCCAAACAAGGGCAAATTCAGTCAAAACTAAATTTAAAATTTATTTGATTTTAATTAATGTCAATTTAAATTCAGGTAGCCACCTGTAGTGTAGTAGTGGCTGCTGTATTTACTGGACAGTAGAGCTCAGTTTAATGACTACTGCTGGCACTTAAGGGGTGGTCTGGTTAACCTAGCAACATCATTCCCAAGAGATAACCTAGTCTAGTGTGAAGAACCAGGGTCGCTGCCAGTCCTCATGGGCCCTTAATGTAAATTAGGAAACAGCATCTTCTTAGGTAGATGCAGCTCTGAAAGCACAAGGCTTGGTTAATGGCAGCCTCAGGCAGACACCTTTGGGCAGTGAATGAGGAGCAATAATACATAGCGACCCCAAGAAGGACACAGGCTTTGGAATCTGGGAAACTTGGCTTCAAATTGCTACCCTTCCTCTTATTTAATATATATTTATTGAGCGCCTGTTCTAAGCAATAGTGTTAACTGAAGTAAAAGAGATGGAGACAAAGCCTTTGTCCAACGGAGCTAAAAGGAGTAAGAGGATATGTAAAACAAACATGTACAAAAATTACTAAATAAAATTGCTGACTGCACTGAGAACGTAAAACAGATGGACATGATGAGGAATGTTTGGTTCTTTCTCATCATCCCCCAAAGGCCTTGGGGAAGGGCCTTCAAACAGTGGGAATAGCAGCTACAAATGTCCTAAGGCCTGAATGATGACAGCTTGTATAAGGGGCAGCAAGGAGGCCAGGGTGACTGGAGGGGAGTAAATGACAGAGGCAGCTGTGGAAGGTAAGGTCACAAAAGGAGGCCGGAGCCAAGAGAGGGGGCCTTGTATGCCAGTTGGAAGCCACTGGGAAGTCAGCCAGAGAGATCTTCTAAGCTATAAATCTGGTCATTTCACAACCTGCTCAACTTCCTTCACAGTATACTACCAGCTGTATGACCTTGGATGAGTTGTCTTCTCAAAGCCTTGGTTACTTCATGTAAAAAAATATAATTCTACCAGTTTCATATGACTTATATATGAAGGTTTATATGGCATGAGAGAAGCGTCTAGCATGATGTCTGATGCACAAATCATGACAGTAATTTGAAAATGTACATGTGATATAGAAAATAAGGAGAGTGGAAGGAATAAAATAAAACATTTAAAAACTGAAGTCTGAAGAGTTGCAGTGAGATTATATGCAGGTGAAGTCTTTTGGGGTCTTAGTAAGAAAGAGGCCTTGAATATGAACTAAGAACAGACTTGAATACCAGGGCTCAAAAATCCATCTCTCATCTTAGTCACTATGCTTTAACATTAAAGAACCACTTTCACTGTGGTCACCTGCGAGCAACATTATATATTCTCTTGGGAAGAAATGACTAATAATGACTAATATTTATAATATATTGACAATTTGAAAATAATATTGAGCTAATCCAGCCCCATTCATTTTATCCTGCTCTTTTATGTAATTCCACTTCTTTGTGCAATTCAGAATCAAAGACCCATAAAGAACTTTGCCGACTTTCTGTTCTAGCAATAATGCAAAATGAAAATGCATACTTTGTTTGCTCTAAATCTGACAAACTAGAGAAGTGATCTAAATTACTGAGGATGTTCCTTCAGTGATCAGAGTCCTCCCTGGCACGTATAAGATCCAACACATCTTTTTCCATAGCTTCTAGGGCACTTCCCCCCTTCTTTTATATGAGAAGATATTCAGGCTGACCTAGGAAGCACTATTTTTTTTTTAACATACAGGCAAGCTCCTGGTGAGAAACAATAGATGCATGACTTTGGTCTCTTCTGCCAATTGCCATTTCAGGTCTTGAATCTGCAGAGTGAAGGTAATATTTTCCCTGGAAAGTTGGTTTATCAGAGCTTCCTTTTCTTCTAGCCTTTTTAGGAACTCACCTACAAAAAGATTTCACAAAATAAGTTAATCATGGTCTTCTTATCTACTGCCTCTCCCACTTAACTTGTTGGCTTAAGAGCAACTAATATGATCCACATATTTTTGATATTTATAAAGAGTCGAGGGTCCAGTTATCAGCAAACCATGGCAATGATCCTTTCCAGAACTCTCGAGAGTGAGCTACCATTTATTGAGAATCTTCCATAGAGCAAGTACTTTATATATATTACCTAGTTTAATTCTCATAGCTACTTGATAACATAGGTATTATGTTACCCATTTTTCAGAAGGGAAAATATGGTAACTGACTTAAACGTGATTGAGACACAAACCTGGTTACCAGCTATGCAATGGACGTAGATTCAAGTTAAGCTCTTAATCCTGAGGAACGCATTCTTTCTTCTGTGCCATGCTCCCTTGTGTACTATATGTGGCTCTACACATTTCTGACCATATGATCTTTAGATAATTACAACTTCTTTGCCTCATTTGTAAATTGAGGATGGCGATAAAATATTGTTAATGAAAATTAAAGGAGTGTGAATGTACTTTGTAGACTGACTTGCTAAATAACTATTAGAAAGCGTCATTAAATGGTACAGAATGTGACCAAGAGAAGGGTAAATTTTATTTCACTCTAGTCTACTTTCCCAGCTTAGCTTACTTCATTAATGATAGGTGAGAAATGCCTTGGTTATTAGAAATGGTATTAAAGCAGAGCCAATCCTGATCAAAGGCAGTTACTTCTATTATGCAATTAGTGCAATAATAAAAGCCTCAAATATTTATGATTCCCACCCCTCTTGCTACAAACAAGTTCTAAAACTCTCAACATTATAAGAGTGTTTGGGTTAAAACAGCAATTCCCAAACTTTTGGGTCTCAGGAACACTTTATATGCTTAAAAAATTTTGAGGACCCCACAGAGATTTTGTTTACATGAGTTTTATATTAACAGTGTATTCGAAATTAAAAGAGGAATTTAAGGTATGTATTTACTCATTTTAACATAATAAAAATCTTAATGACATGTTAACAGAAGCAACGATTTTTAGAGGGAAAACTATGTTCCAAAACAAACAAAAAATTAGTGAGAAAAATAAGCTTATTTTATATTTTTTTAAATCTCTGGCTTAATAAAAGTCAGCTGGTTGAAGAATCCAACTGTTCTGGTTGAAGCATGTGAAGAAATCCAGCCTCTCATAGATAAGTAGTTAGAAAAGGGAGATGTGTTTTCATAGTCTTTTCAGATAATTGTGACTATTGTTTGATACTGTACCAAAACTCAACAAATAGAAGTTTCTTAAGGGTTAATGGTATAATCCCTATAAATGAATTTTTTATTCTGTTACATTAAAATTCATGCACCTGTCTTAAACTTTGAATGGATCTTTTACCTACACATGATTTTGCAACATCAAGCAGTGGTGATTTGAAAAGTATACGTTTACTGAATTATGCAGATTTTCCAAATGTTAACACATTTCATCACAGAATATTAAAAAAAATCATATCTGTTAACATCATCACTTATCTCATAAGAAAAGCCTTTAAGGTTCAGCTCAAGATGGGGGAGTTAGAAGATCCTGAGTTCAGCTCCTCCCATGGACACACCAAAACTACAACTACGTATAGAAAAACTGTCTCTGAGAACAGCCTAAAGACTAGCAGAACAGATTTTCTACAACTAAGGCTATAAAGAAAAGGCCATGTGGGGAATGGGTAAGAGGGCAGAGATGTGGTCTAATCAGAGCTCATACCCCCGATAAGCATACCCCCGATAAGGCATACCCCCGATAAGGCATATCCCCGATAAGCTCATACCCCCGATAAGGCAATAAGTGGGAGGGATATCACAACTGTGGAGGTCCCCACTGGGGAGTGAGGGGTCCAAGCCCCACATCATGCTCCCCAGCCCAGGGTTCTTGCACCGGGAAGACAAGCCTTCGTAATGTCTGGCTTTGAAAACCAGTGGGGCTCAGGGCCGGGAGGGCCAGAGGACTGCGGGAAACTGCAGACAATGCTTGTGTACAAACTCACTTGCTCCTGGTCCCAATAGAGAGGCAACAGCTTGAAAAACACCTGAGTCGTACAAGAAGGAAATTCATTGGCTAATATTGGGACATATTTTGGAGGGGCAGGGATCTGGCAGAACTTTCTCCAGTGGCAGAAGCACTTGTGCACACCTTTTTATTTTTATTTTTTTAACTCTTCTGCCACCTAGCTGGCTGGTCCAGGACTGGTGGGCACCATTTCTGTTACTTTCAGTCAATCTAGCTAACACAGTGTACCCTGCCCCAACATTCCCTTGAGGACCCACCTTGGAAGGCCCCTCAAAAGCCACTCCATGTCCACTCCATCGGGCAGGTGGCACGAGCTGGCACTGGTGCCCCTCCAAAGTGGCTCTTACCCCATCCAACCTGGTGAGCCACCTTGGCCAGCATCAGCACCCCCTCCAAGAAGCTCCCACTTGGGGGTCACCTCAAGTGACCCACAGCACACCTACAGCAGTCACAACCAAGCTATGCAGCCAGCCAGGCCTGGGGCCAGCCCCCTCCACCAGTGTGCCCACAGCAATTGTGGCCCAACCACAATAAGAGGGTGCATGAAGCCCAAACAGGGGAAACCCCAGGAAAAACTGGCTCTGGTGACCATGGGGAATTGTGCCACACATAAGGCCACTCTCTCAAGACTAGGATATGGAGCTGATCTACCTAATACATAGAAACAAACACAAAGAGTTAGGCAAAGCGAGGAGACAAAGGAATACTTTCCAAATGAAAGAACAAGACAAAACTCCAGAAAAAGAACTAAACAAAATGGAGATAAGCAATTTATCAGAAAAGAATTCAAAGTAATACTCACAAAGATGCTTACCAAACTTAGGAGAAGAAGGGGTGAACTCAGTGAGAACTTCAACAAAAATATAGACAATATAAAAAAGAACCAATCAGAACTGAAGATTATAATGACTGAAATGAGAACACATTAAGGGAATCAACAGCAGATTAAAAGATCCCAAAGAACAGATCAGCAATCTGGAAGATGAGGTATTGGAAATCACCCGATCATAACAGCAAAAAAGAAATCTCTCTTTTTAAGAGAGATTAGTTTAAGGGACCTCTGGGACAACATCAGGCATACTAACATTTGTGCTATAGAGGTCCCAGAAGGAGGGGAGAGAGAGAGAGAGAGAGAAAGACATAGAGAGAGACAGAGAACATATAGAGGGAAAATACCTCAACATAATAAAGACCATCTATGACAAAAGCACAGCTAACATAATACTCAATGGTGAAAACTCAATGGTGAAGATGGCTCAAAGATCAGGAACAAAACAAGGATATTCGTTTTTGCCACTTTTATTCTACACAGTACTGGAAGTCCTAGACATAGCAATCAGAAAAGAAAAAGAGATAAAGACATCTAAATTGGAAAGAAAGAAATAAAACTGTCACTATTTGCAGATGATATGATACTATACATAGAAAACCCTAAAGACTCCATCAAAAAACTATTAGAACTAAAAAACGAATTCAATAAATTTGCAGGATACAAAATCAATATACAGAATCAGTTACATTTCTGTACACTAATAACAAACTATCAGAAAGAGAAATGAAAAAGACAATTCCATTTACAATTGCATCAAAATGAATAAAATACCTAGGATTAAATTTTTTTGTTTGTTTGTTTTGTGGTACTCAGGCCTCTCACTGTTGTGGTCTCTCCTGTTGCAGAGCACAGGCTCCAGACGTGCAGGCTCAGTGACCATGGCTCACAGGCCTAGCCGCTCCATGGCATGTGGGATCTTCCCTGACCAGGGCACGAACCCGTGTCCCCTGCATCGGCAGGTGGACTCTCAACCACTGCGCCACCAGAGAAGCCCCCTCGGATTAAATTTAACCAAGAAGGTGAAAGACCTGTACTTGGAAAACTATAAGACACTGATGAAAGAAACTGAAGATACAAGTAAATGGAAAGATATTCTATGTTCATAGATTGGAAGAATTAGTATTGCTAAAATATTCCTACCCAAAGCAATCTACAGATTCAATGCAACCCCTATCCAAATACATTTTTGGCATTTTTCACAAAACTAGAACAAATAACCCTAAAATTTGTGTAGAACCACAGAAGACCCAGAATAGCCAAAGTAATCATGAGAAAGAACAAAGCTGGAGGTATCATACTCCTTGATTTCAAACTATGCTACAAAGCTACAGTAATCAAAACTTTATGATACTAGTACAAAACTAGACACATAGTTCGATGGAACAGAATAGAGAGCCCAGAAATAAACCCACACTTACATGGGCGGTTAATTTACAACTAAGGAGCCAAGAACATACAGTGGGGAAAAGACAGTCTTCAATAAATGGTGCTGGGAAAACTGGAAGTTAAATGAAAGGAATCAAAATGGACTATTTTCTCACACCATGCACAAAAATAAATTCAAAATGACTTAAAGACTTAAATGTAAGACTTGAAACTATAAAACTCCTAGAAGAAAACATAGACTATATACTTTTTGACACTGGTCTCAGCAATATGCTTTTGGGTCTCTTTCCTCAGGCAAGGGAAACAAAAGTAAAAATAAACTAATGGGACCTAATCAAACTAAAAAGCTTTGGCACAGCAAAGGAAACCATCACAAAATGAAAAGACAACCTACTGAATGGGAGAAGATATTTGCAAATGATATATACAATAAAGGGTTAATATCTAAAATATACAAAGAATTCACACAACTCAATATCAACAAAACAAAAAATCTGATTTAAAAATGGGCAGAGGACCTGAATAAACATTTCCCCCCCGACCCAGGGAAGACATTCAAATGGCCAATAGACACATGAGAAGATGCTCAACATCACTAATCATCAGGAAAATGCAAATCAAAAGCACAATGAGATATCATTTCACACCTGTCAGAATGGATACATCAAAAAGACAACAAATAACAAGTGTTGGTGAGAATGTGGAGAAAAGGGAGCCCT